TGTGGACAAAAGTGGGGCAGGAGGGTCATTACATCAGATGCTTGCAAAACTCGGGACACAGAAAAACACATAACTAAATCTATTTGCACATAAAACATCCAATATCATTAAAACTAACATTATGACAAAAAATTTGTACATGCGTTAAGACAGATGCTGAAATCGACATTCAACATAACAAATTAGCCAAAAATATCTAAGATTGGAGCATTTGAACTAGAAATCACTGGTCTGTCACTAAGTCTCTAAAACCCTTATTGCCTTTGGAACAAGGGAAAGGAGTTCAAAGTCTTGACACATATGGTATGTGTCATCAATTCCCTGAATAATAGCACAGGCATTGAGTTTGGCCTCCATCAAAACATGATTTTTTTTCTTAACCTCATAAATCTAGTTAGACTAAAGCCATTTCATTCTTAAAATCCAAAATGCCAACATATCAGCATCCATCACAATGAAAAAAAAAAAAAAAAGAGAACAAGAGAAAAGAATAGAGGTCCAAATGTAGCAATTGCATGGAGCCAAGCTTGTAGCACAGTGTTAAATCAGTTTGTACTATGGATAGCCAGCTTTCATTGGGCATGCCGAAGCAGGGTTCTATCCGTACTCTTGAGCTCCGTGACCCCTGGTTGACATGATTCACGAGTTCCATGACCCTTGTTAACCAGATTCATGAACTCCTTCACCAGGGTTCACATGATTAATAAAATGAAACTATGATTGACCTGAATTACAATCAGTGACCCTAGTAATCTTGATTAAGTCCAATATCTGGTTGACAAGTTTACATGAGCTATGCTTGCATTTACTGAACATAATCTAATGATTTCAAAGACTGATCTCAACATTGTTGGAGATATATTTGAATTTTTTCATACAACTTCTATAGATTTTTTTTATGATTTACAGTGGATCATGCATGAATTGAGACTTATGGATCACGGATTCAGATAACTGGGGTCTGTTTCCCTGCAACGAGCCTTACGTACACAGATGAGAAATATGTCTTTATAAATATCAATAAACATAATTACAGTAATGATACACATCTGAGAAATATAGACTCTGAAAATAAAAAACCTGTACAGATGTCACAACAGGCAACAAGGGGTGGAGAGTTCCACAACTCTGATTTTTCCCTGATATACACTACAAAGAATATAAAATAAAGACAGGAAAAAATATGACTGGGTATTTAAAACTACACAAGTTATTTCCTCTCCCTCCCTTGTTAGTGATAACCTGTTGTGCCACTTTGGTAACCTGTATTAGGACCTGTCAAAATTTGCTGTGGCTATGTGACACCTCCGAGGAGGCACTAATCCCTGGTTTGTGAGGTGAGTTTATAGTTACAAAGGCCGGGCAGGAAAGAGCAAAGGACTAACTGGGAGAATATACAGAACCATTACAACAAACTGACGATTCACATACAACCATTATGCATCAAATCCAAGTAGCTTCTTTTCCATCTCTGAAAACAGTCAACACGATTTGCCGAGTCAAGCACCCATACATACCCTGGATTTGTCAATAGATATGAACAATTGTACTCTAGTTTAGTCAAGGGGTGGGGTTAATACACGAAATATATTGTAGTGGATCATAAGAAAATATTTAAATCAACATCCACTAATATGCTAATTTCTCGGAAAATTCATATGACGAAGGCACTTGGACAACACCTTACTTAGCTGAGTCCATGTTAAGCTGGGTCTGTCTCACATAATTGTACAGAATTTGAAATCATCATTCACCATTTTTTTAGAACCTGAATGTGGCAAAGTTTTTGTTACTTGCTCACATATATATATAATGGTATGAATGATAAAATCTTTAAATTTACCCATAACTATGTTTCCAGTGCCTAGACTTCTTCCTGCCCGGCTTGGGTATAACAACCTGATGAGCAACCTGATTAATTTGGTATGGGGTTTGATGAAGAATTCACTATTTGACTTATAGCTAATATGGCATTGGCAAACAGTCTCACCATCATGAAGCTGTCCAGAGAGGATAGAGCATTACTATTCCAAGGGCAGACATAATGATATGGCTAGACAATTGTCAATATGCCACTGATACTGGGTACGTTCTCGACAGATACAACGTACAAACTCATCACAACTTCAGCTCTTCTTAAATGATTAGCGTAAGGTGCAATCAACTGTTTAATATTGTGCTGACAGTTTAAGAACAATTTTGAGTTTGTTCATTCTATCTCTCTGGAGCATGGCTAATTTCCTAAGTTAAGCACAAATGTTTGGTAATTGGGAAGCAAGTGGTGGGGTAGCACTGTGTGTCACAACTGGCGGGGTTCGGGCAAGTGTAACAATGTAGGTTCAAGATCATCTGGGCTTCACCTTCACAAGCACTGACGTCAATTTCCAGCACTTACTGGCAGACAAAAAAAAAAAAAAAAAAAAAAAAACAGATTGAGACTTGTGTGAAAGGTGTTGCCTTACAAATCTTAGATAACAAAACAGAGGCAATGAATACTGATTAATATAATAACAGGTGCAGAAAAACTATTGAACATTCCTTAGTATAATGCACTCACATGAAAAAAAAAAGAGGAGATCTGATAAAACAAAAAAAATTATAACCGGTACTATGGAAAGCATTGCACACTAAAGTGACCTGATGGAAATGATAAAACAAAAATAATATTCTTTTGATGCTTCAAAAAGACCTCCTAAAGTGATTAACCTACATCAGTTAACTACTACACTAAGAACATGGATTGAAATTAACGATAACACAAAATATACAAAAAAAAAAAAATAGAAATAAATACAGTATAACTTAATTCCATACTAAACAAACATTATAACTGAATTTACTCCATTTATACAGAAATCCTTACCATGTACTCCACCTTAAACCATTATCATAAGTACCAGACACCACACATAAGAAATCTTGTAACATTACACATACACTAGTCACAATATACAGAAATTGGCACAAAAAAAACGGACACTCAACTGTATCCAAATTTTTAATAAATTACATAGTGGGAAAAAAAAAATGAGGAATCACAAAAATAGTATCCAACCAAATTCTTACTTTTAAGAAATATAATATATATTACTAGGATGGCAAGCATGACCATCTCTTTAAGCTGAGCCTTATTAAGTACATCATAATTCTCCAGTGTACAATATTTTCTCAGCTGTGCTAAGCAAGCAGTCTCTGACACCTGCTTAACCAGCCAAATATAACCCTGTGTTATTTGGTAGGGGGGTTTTCAACCACCCATTTAATTGAGAGAAAGAAGAAATCAAAAAGAAAATCTAATTTAAATAATATCTATCACTTTCATTAAAAAAAAATCTTATCAAAATATTGTTTATATATTCATTTATACTTCAAGAAAAGGTCAAAAACAGATGTAACATCAGAATCAGATTCCTTAAATACCTGTCACATCATACACCTGCCATGTAAATAATATCAAAACATCTATAAAGTACTGTACTGTATAAAGTAGTTGACGCTGAAAGAGGTAGTCACACTTGCTGATATGGAAACAAGAGACACAGTGAGGGTGGGTAGAGGGGGTTTGAGCAATGGGTAACACTGGGAAAAAGAGCGTTTCATGCAAAATCGCTGTACAATCCTCTTCCTCACTGATTGTTCATCACATTTTAACATTCCATAACATGGAATGTGTTCAGTTGAGAGAGCTTAATGTCAATACCTCCTTAATATAAAACTGAGAGCAGACACTGACAACAGGAGGTATGCCTTCATTACCCGCTAGTCCTGCATCAGACCGTCACAAGCAGTAAAGTGAATACATACCGGTATATACATTTGTCATGGAAAGGCTCGTGTAACTCTGCTCCTTCCCCAAAAATGTCCTAAGTTGCACGATTACTTAATTACTGTCAAGATATGGGTGAAAACTATAGTGGATGTCAGCATAGTGTTGTAATCATCTAAATATTATGGAAAAGTTTTAAGTTCAACAAAATATTTTATAATTCATTAAGTGACAATCACATGCCTCAAATTCAAATTCAAATTATAACTTAAGACTAAAATATAAAATTTATTAATCTATTGCCAATGAGTGCTTCCTGGGTGAATTAAAAATAGTTATATAATTTATATTCATATCTTTTTTTAAATATGAGGTATGTGTTACACAAACTTATTGGTAAAATATATCAATAAAAATATCTTTCTTTTATGATTTAACTTTAAAATAAGGTGAGAGCTGGTAACATATTATGTATATAAAGTACTGTATATGTATATAAAGTACTGTATATGTATGTATGCAGGGATATATAATATACTGTGTATACAGTATATACATATACCTAAATACACACAAGCACATGTATGCATGTGCACACACACATCCTCCCCATACACATACATCCACAATATCCACATATACACACACACACACACTTTGTTAGGTCAAAGCTAGAATATGCAGTGGTTGTGGGGTGCCCATATCTCAAAAAGCACATCAACAAACTGGAAAAGGTGCAAAGACATGCTACTAAGTGGCTCCCAGAACTGAAGGGCAAGAGCTACAAGGAGAGGTTAGAGGCATTAAATACTGTATTCCAAAACTAGAAAACAGAAGAAAAAGAGGTGATATGATCACTACGGTCAAAATAGTAACAGGAATTGATAAAATCGATAAGGAAGATTTCCAGAGACCCGGAACTTCAAGAACAAGAGGTCATAGATTTAAACTAACTAAACAAAGATGCCGAAGAAATATAAGAAAATTCACTTTCGCAAACAGAGTGGTAGAAGGTGTTGGAGTCTAAAACCGTCAGTAGTTTCAAAGTGTTATATGAAAAGAGTGCTGGATAGACGGAACACCACGAGCGTAGCTCTCATCCTGTAACTACACTTAGGTAATTACACAGTCACAGATTCAAGCTAAGGAAACAGAGGTGCCAAAAAATATTAAAAAGTTTTCTTTTATAAACAGAGTGGTAGACAGTTGGAACATGCTAAGTTAGAAGGTGGTAGAGGCCAAAACAGTCAGTAGTTTCAAAGCGTTATATGACAGAGTGCTGAGAAAATGGGACACCACAAGCGTAGCTCTCATCCTGTAACTACACTTAGGTAATTACACACACACACACACACAGTCTTACCACAAATGCTAAAGCTCTTAAAAGGGCTTTGGCACTTTTATGCTCCAACTTTTTTTAATCATGCACACTTATGATGTAAAAAAAATGGTATTCCAAACAACTTGCCTAAAAAAAAAAAAAACTGCCGTGAAATAGATTTTTTTATACAGAGAAGTAACTAACAAGACAGTGTGTAAAGAAGTGCACACACGAGATTGAAAAATCTTTTGGTTCCTACAGAAGTCTTTACTTGGAAACTTCTGACTTTTCAACAGCCATGATTTATAGCCCCAGATAAGAAATACCCAGTATGATCTAAACAACAAATACCCACTACAGTACTACTTATTTCAAAACTAATACATAAACAAATCAATAAACATACAAAAACGTTCAAGCAATCAAAAGGAAACATTACATCAATACCGATTTTGGGGTTATGAATGCAACAAATTCCTACAACTAACAGTTATCTAACAAGCAGTCTGATGTAATCATAAACCAATAAAGAACAAAATATGCGAAATTAGCATGCAACAACAGAGACAAAACACACACATCCACCCCCCATACAAGCTCATCCATTCATTCACAAACATTTCAACCCAATTTTAAAATTGCACTCTCATGTTAGACATTTCCTGAGGTGAACAAAAGATAATCTGTGTAGAATCAACCTGTAATATTTAAACTAATGACCACAAAAATTAAATAAATCATGACAGTTTCTACAAGAAAGGATGACACACTGAAACCCGTAAGACTACAGTACTACTTTGCTGCGCCGCTCTGGACGTTATATGGCTCGAGATTAATTTAAATTTATATTTACTGTATATACTGTATTAGTATTATTTTTGTTCTGTACTGAAAACTGGTTTTCCCTTGAACATGTGGGTATCTATTCATCAGTGTTCTATACACACTGCTCCAGCACTTCTGGTAATGCCCAAGTGACATGGGTGCTGACAAAAAAAAAAAAAAAAATTATGACTATTAAAAACAGGAATAAATATATGATATTATAAAATTATTGCATTACTAGAATATTTTTAATTTTTTTTGTATGCAAACCAGAGCAAAATAAAGAGATGCGTAAACTCTCGAGTATTAACTTTTAAAATGTGTGCTTTCATCTTTGTTATTGGCTATTTGCAGTTACAGATGGAGAGCAATGCTTCTCTACTCCCATCCTCATTGTATACTTTATTATAAATAGTTTTGAGACATCTAGTGATCTTTTGCACAACCTCTTGCAGTTTAATCCATCTGCAACTATACTGCCAAAAACTTCATAATCCTTTATAAATATTTCTGTAGTTTAAAACCTCTATAACCTCTAGCTCTATTGATTTCTGCTTTCAAAAACTTCTTTCTGTTTTCACTCTCTCTTACACGTTATGTAATTACACTTAAATAATAACTTGTACATAGATTTTTAAATTGCAAATAATTACTCTTTGAAAACTTTAATCTATAATTTGTTTATCTACTTACATCACTGACATGCAATGACAACAAATAGCCAAGAACACAAATGATGGTGGCCCAAGCGAAACCATGGCCATGGCAAATGATCGTCGTCAAGTACAGTATAGCATTAGCTACACCCAGTCACCACTAAACATACCACCAGCACCACCCACAAGACCATGGAACAAACAGTACCAGCAGCCACTTATACAAGACATCTTCAACATATGATTTTAGATAATACCAGAACTAGTTTCCATTATATAAAATGTCTCCGGTGTCACGGACCATCAGAGGCACCATCACTAGTAAGAGGGGTTCAGAAAGATGGTAATAAGTGAAATAAGTCATTGTAAATAATAACCCTTCCAGCTTCTAAGTTCACTAGAGAATACAATACCATGAGTCGCAATAGCTAACCTCTCCAGGATCCCTATGAATAAAGTCACTAGCACCAGGAGCCATTATACATAATATCACCAGCACTTGAAGCAACTACAGTAAACATAAAATACCAGGAATATTGACTAATGTCATTATACACCAATGTGACTGCCACCCATGATAAACTGCAACATCCACAATACCATACACACAAACAAAAATGCTTCATCACTAAGCTCTTCATCACCACAGGTAAACAGTGAGTTGATCATCACTATGCTGAATCATTCCCTATAGTGTAGAAGGAGCAGCACTGTTTAGTTGGACTTCGAAAGAGCAATATTTGCAATGGAGATAAGCCCAGTAAACACTAACAACCACTTTCTTATTTTGTTGAGGTATTTCAGAAATTGACAAACAACAGCTACCTCTATGATAATACACATGAACATACTGGTTAAATATTGTCGTAGCCTTTGGAAGACATAGAAGTTACGAATAAGTGGCACAGTATCTTTGCACTCAGAGACAATGTGATTTTTCTACTTAGTTTGTACACATTTGCTATATGCATATAAAACACTTCAAAATGCAGGTTTCCCTGTCATCACATCATCTCAAACTTGCACAAATTGGAAATGCAAAATCTTGATTGCCTGATGCTTCTGAAAACAAGTGGTACTTATTTCCCAATTAACAGCTAATGGAGGAAAATATTAAAATTTTTGGCACAAATTAGGTACAGAGGAAAAGAAGGGTTAAAAAACTTCTCCATGTTACACTGGGATATAAAACAGAGGTTCATGTAAAGCATTTGTTTCAAGAACTTCATGTATTGCAAACTTCTCACAATACACAAGTGAGAACAAGCTCTACATATATTTCTTGCAACTTCATCAATTACCCTATGCAAGTGGCGAAGATTCACATATTCCATTCAAACACTATGGATACTCTGACCATCCACTCACCAACGAACCAACACATTACCAATACTCAAGTGGGCCATGGTTCCTTGTATGCCATCCAAAGCTCTGACATTTAAGTAATGATATTTATCTTTCTAACTTAGGCCTATACTGTAAATGTTGAGCACTTATGTTATTACTTTATGCCTGAGAATGAAAACTGAGGGCATTGTAAAGACTCTGCCAGCTCATAAAAGCTGAATACCTAAGTAAAATATGATCAGCCTCTTTGGAGAAAGATGTACCAGGTCAGCCATTTATAAACTCTTATGCAAAATAATTTTATTATACTCAATCTCTTGATTCATAAATAAAAGCAGCAAGATTCTATTAACAGGTTTAAGATGGCTGACCCAAATACGCTTATTGATATGTTCCTGCAGAGTCTAGAGCAGTAGGGCCCGACTCCTCCTGCCCTTGAACACATGCAGTGACGAGTGGACTGCTACTCGGACGTTGTGTCCTTTGCTCCCTGATCATTTTCATCATTCACATACTTCTCCATGCTGTAGTTGCGATTTCGTTTAAGAGGAGCCCCATGATGGGTCACCTGGTGGCGTCGCAGGTACCACTTGTTTTTGCATTTTTTGTGGCACAAGTCACACTCCACCCCCTCACCCTTGGTGTGAATATTGATAATGTGCTGTTTCAGATTGAATTTGTTGCTGAAGACGCGGTTACATATGGGACAGATGCCTGGCTGCCGGCTGTTCCAAAGCTTGGGAACGCATGCCCGCACCAGATATTCAGCGTCTGCAAGGGAAGAAGAAATGTCCTCTCAGTATGGCTGTCTCTTGGGACATCCCAGTCCACTTAGCTTACTTAGGGAATTACAGCTATCAGGATTCTTTGACCAGGGAACGACAGGTGGACAGATGGATTTATTTTTTTTAGTTTATTCAATATTCCGGCCAATATTCCATGCTTAATTTCATTCCTTACCATTACATTTCTTATTTCAGCCAATTACCTCCTGAAATTAATATTAATAATGTATAGCCAAGTACTAATCTTAATGTTCTAATTTCATAAACTAATTAATTACCAAGTGATAAAAGAATAAGGATTCTACCTTCCAGAACATGAGTAGAGCAATGAAAAACTGGTAACTATGAGTCTACAAGAACACTACTTGGACAGGATCATGCTTAGCAATGAGAGTCTTTACTACATGCTACTTCTAACTCAAATGGTCACAAAAGGCAACCTGTTGTCATATAGAACCATTCGTTAAAAACTAGCCATGGAATCTAGTTTTGTCATTAAGCATGGTACATGTGTTTTTGGATACCAATCACAAAATATTTTGTCCATGTCCACCTGTTATTGAATTTAATCTCATTCAAAATTTAATTACTGACAGGACATTTTTCCAATACATTCACATTATCTCGATTGATTTATTACAGCCTTTGTCTAAATCATCCATACATGAATCCCAAAGCTGAACTGCAGAACATACTAGATTGAATTTGAAGGGGAATTCAGCACATACGATCCATTTGTTTCTTAGTGAAGACCTCTTGAGGTTGGGATGTCTCCATCTGGTGGGGAGTAGGAGTGAGTGCCATGCCTAAGTCCTTAGTTAACTCATAGGCAGGATGCTGGTTGGTCAAGATCTTGCCAGACTTGGGCTCAGCCGGGCCTTTGGAGCGACGCAGGGGAGCACCATGTGCAGTCACATGGTGTTTACGCAAGTACCACTTGTTCTTGACCACCTTGTGGCACAACTCACACTCAATCCCCTCCCCTACTGTGTGCACGTTCACAATGTGTTGTTTCAGGTTAAACGAATTACTGAAAGTTTTCCAGCAAAACGGACAGAGGCGGGGTTGCATGCAGCGCCACCTTTGGCGAGCGGGGGCATCTGGAACAGAGCAAAACATGGCATTAACCTGGGCCCTTAGTGTGTTGCTGCTGCCAAATGCCCCCACTCAGCCAAGTGCTCACGGGTCTCTCATAATCATGTCAATGCTCTTCATAAATCGTTTCAATTTACTGTGCCTCACATCATATCTACAAACTTGATAACAAACTGAAAATAAATTGTCCTTTCTTGTTCGAACAAGTTGTGTTCCAGGTGTATATGATTTGTTCCAAACCATACACTGCACAATTAAGTCACTAGTCATATTCAACATATTTTCTGTATAACTGGTCCTGTGACACAGATGAAAGAAATGAAGTAAAAGAAATTACTACAGTACTGCACAGTACTTACAAAAAAAAGATAAAACCTTACTGCATGAGCTTTAACAAAGCATCATAGCTCAAACAAGCTTAACTTACTGCTTCCCAAGAAATCATGCCTCATTGATAAATGTTCAATATTTTAAACAATTGAATGCTGTTCATGCTTATGCAGTTCAGTCTATAACAATGAAATGAAGCCCCAGTCAACAAAACTACAGTACTAAAATTGTCAACATTAAACAAGAAACTTTGAAAATTATGATACAGAACAATATACAGTATATATATATTTTCTACACATGCATATTCATATAAATTTGCTTGTTTTTAAAATTCAATAAAGTCATATTAATATTTTCTTATTATACACTATATACATGTAAGTATACATGTATGTATACATGTATGTATGTATGTACTCACCTAGTTCTGCTTGCAGGGGTTGAGCTTTGGCTCATTGGTCCTGCCAACTCTAACTGTATTCACCTAGTTGTATTCACCTTGTTGTGAATGCGAGGGTTGAGCTCTGATTCTTTCGGCCCACCTCTCAACTGTCAATCCATCAACCAATTCTCTCCCCCCCCTCCCCTCCAGAAAGCAGCCTATAGCAGCGGTCTAACTACCAAGTACCTATTTACTGCTAGGTGAACAGAGGCATCAGGGTGAAAGAAACTGCCCATTTGTTTCCGCGATCGCAGGGGATCAATACCCAGACCCTAGGATAACAAATCCTGAGCAATGTCCACTCAGCTGTCAGGCCCCCTAAAGAATGTATGTATGCCCCTGTATGTATGTATGTATGTATGTAGATATAAATGTGTATTCATGTGTGTAATCACCTAAGTGTAGTTACAGGATGAGAGCTACACTCGTGGTGTTCCATCTTCCCAGTACTAGGGAGCCAGTCGGCCGAGCGGACAGCACGCTAGACTTGTGATCCTGTGGTCCCGGGTTCGATCCCGGGCGCCGGCGAGAAACAATGGGCAGAGTTTCTTTCACCTTATGCCCCTGTTACCTAGCAGTAAAATAGGTACCTGGGTGTTAGTCAGCTGTCACGGGCTGCTTCCTGGGGATGGAGGCCTGGTCGAGGACCGGGCCGCGGGGACAATGAAGCCCCGAAATCATCAAGATAACTTCAAGATAACCTACTCTGTCATAACACTTTGAAACTACTGACAGTTTTGGCCTCCACCACCACCTCACTTAACTTGTTCCAATCATCTACTACTGTTTGCAAAAGAAAACTTTCTAATATTTTTTGTGCACCTTTGTTTCCTTAGCTTGAATCTGTGTCCTCTTGTTTTTGAAGTTGCTGGTATCAAGAATTCCTCTTTGTCAATTTAGTCAATTCCTGATAGTATTATTTATGTGGTGATCCTATTACCTCTTTTTCTTCTATCTTCTAGTTTTGGCATGTTTAACGCCTCTAGTCTCTCCTTGTAACTCTTGTTTTTCAGTTCTGGAAGCCATTTTGAAGCCTTTGAACCTTTTTCAGTTTATTGATAATGTTCTTGAGATATGGGTATCATACAATTACTGCATATTCCAGTTTTGGTCTCACAAACATTATGAACAGTTTCTTTAGTATTTTGCCATCCATGTTTTTAATTAAAAGCAAGTCTGAAGTTGTAAAGCAACACATACGCTCCTCTTACAATGTTCTTTCCGTGTTTCACTGGCGACAGCTTACAGACCAAAAGGTACTATTGTACCTAGGTCTTGTTTTTTAATTACTTTCCACATACTTTGTAAGCTGTGTGCGGTCTATTTTCTCCAATTCCACATTCCATAACATAGCATTTATTTACACTGTATTCCATTTGCCACATGACGCTCCAAGCACTTATTTTATCTAGAACACTTTGAAAGGCATGACAATTGTCTGCCTCTCCCATCTTTCCCAGTATCTTAGCATTATCTGTAAACATGTTCATATAATTCTGTATTCCTTCTGGTAGATCATTTATGTGGACAATGAACAGATTTGATTTGAAACACTGTTTGCCTTTTCCATATATATGCGAAGTTTTCTGTGCACAAAGATGTTTGGAATATCATTTGAAGTGGAATGCTAAGCTCTGTTGTGCACACACTCAGCACCCAAGGTGAAATTCCATTTGATCCAACTGCTTTATTTCTTTCAAAACCTTTAAGTAATTTTCCACTTTTGCTCAAGACACCTCTAAGTATTTACACTTGCCTAGTTGTACTCATCTACTTGGGCTTGTGATGGTTGAGCTTTGGCTCTTTGGTCCCTCCACTCAACTGTCAATTAACTGGTATACAGGTTCCCGAGACTATTTATTCATTTTTTATTTATTTTTTTTATTTATTTATATATACAAGAGTTCTTACATTCTTGTACAGCCACTAGCACACACAGCGTTTCAGGCAAGTCCTTAATCCTAATAATCCCCAGAATACGACCTCACCAAATTGTTTAACAACCAGGTATTCATTTTACTGTTGGGTAAACAGCAGCTACTGTTAAGGATTTGCGCCCAGTAAATCGGTATCCCCGGCCAGGATACGAACCCAGGCCAAACCACACGCGTAACACCAGGCGAGTGTCTTACCACTATGCCACAGGGACTATTGGGATCATATCTACATTTGAAACTGTGTACGGAGTCTGCCTCCTCCATATCATTGCCTAGTGCATTTTATTTGTTAACAACCTTGACTCTGAGAAAATTCTTTCTAATGTCTCAGTACTGTACTCAAATGAGCCACAAAGTTTCCACCTGTGTCTCCTTGTTCTTGTTCCATCTATGCTAAATAGTTTGTCTTTGTCCACCCTGTCAATTCAAACAAAAATTTTTGTAAATGGTGATCATGTTTTCCCTAACTCGTCTGTCTTCCAGGGACATGAGGTTTAATTCCCATAGCCTTTACTCTTAACTCTCACCTTCCAGCTCCGGGACTAGTCTGGTGGAAAACTACTTAACTTTCCCCTAACTTTGACATGTGTTTAACTAGGTATGGACTCCAGACTGGAGCTGCATACTCCAGGATTGGTGTGATATATATGGTATCCAAGGTTCTGAATGACTCCTTACACATGTTTCTAAGGGCAGTTTTTATCTTGGCCAATCTAGCATATGCTGCTGATGATATCCTTTTGCTGTGGGCTGTACACATACATCGTCGTCTTCGCAATACAAGCAGTTTGCATGAAGGTATAACCTCCCGATGACTGCACGATCGGTAATGTAGACAGATGCATATATGACAATGCACAACAACACATCAAAGGTCACGATGTGCCCAAGTCAAGAAGATTACGTCATCAAGTCGGGCGAGGAGGATAAAGGCAAAATAAACAAGAGGAAAGGAATGTAGGATGGGAATAAAGAAAACAGAAGGTGAATGCAAAGCGTTGCGGCAGTAAAGAAAGCGAGGGACGGAGGCAAGAGACGAATGACGGGGGCAAAGGATGTGAAGGAGGCAAGTGCGAATGTGTAGGATGGTAGAGGAAGTCAAGATGGGATAGGCGAGGTTAGGACAGGGCAAGGTAAGTAAATGGCATCTGGAGCCTCACGACTGGACTCTCGGACTTC